ATTATTCGTTCAACCAAATTCAAGGACGGTGAACTATCACTTCCTTGTTGCATAATGACACGAGATTAATAGTCACTAAATAACTATATTAATAAAACTTGTTGATATTCGTTGTTCCACGTAAAAATCATATTACGAGAATGGAAAATGGATATATTTAAATAAGGTCTAATGAACATGAAAGGAAAATATATTAGGAAAGCTAATATGTCAAACTAGTGGATTATCTGGGTAATTGAATTATATTTTTTTCACCAATAAAGAATTTTGGGATTATGATACATAAATGTTTCGGCATTGACCATGTGGGACACCATGGTCATGACCTGATGATCCGGTTGTTTAAAAATACACATAGACACATTTTTTTCGAGTGAAAGACAAATGCAAAAGTGATCCAAATTGCAATTGTTGACTTATGCAACACATGAAACAACACCACCATTGCATTATGTCCTCTTGATCTCGAATACCCAAAACTTTTGCACACCCTACTCCTTAGCCAAAATAGGAATTACAACATCCTATGCTAAGAACATAATACAAAATATTCCTTTCTTACAACAAATACAACGTGATATTTGTGGACCTATACATCAAAAATACGACTCATTCAAGTACTTTATGGTTCTAGTTGAAGTTTTAACACGATGAACCCAAGTTGTGCTATTGTCCACACGAAATACTACACTCCTAGCAGAAGCTAAACATTTAAGGGTTCACCATCCTAATTATCTAATCAAGTCTAAATTACTTGGTAATGCTGGATAATTTACATCATAATTAAGAATATTAGAATCGATCGAGAGCATCATATACCCCTCATATGTATACATGAAAATGTTCTCACAAGAGCCATCATCAAAATGATATAAATAGGAGCTAGGGCATTGGTTATGCATACCAATTTATCCGTATATGTGTGGGATTATGCAATATTACATGCAACTTTACTTATTTATTTTTAGACCCAATACTGGCCAATCAGTCTCATGCATACCAGCTGGTAACTCAATATAATCCTGATATTTTACATTTACGCATTTTTTATTATGTAGTATATGTGTCAATTGCACCCTTACAACACACCAAAATGGGTCTCAAAAATGATTAAATATATACGTTGGATATGAATCTCCAACAATTACTTGCTGTTGAAACCTTTGACCGGTGATCTTACCACATGATTTGGGAATTTTCACTTTAATGGAAGTCTTCTCGTTGTTAGGAAGAGATAGGATTCCTGTTGTTAGGAGGAGATAGAAAAAGTATTTTCCAATGAAACGACAAGAACTGTCGTGGAATGTTCCAACTATGTCTCATTTTGATCACTAAAATTCAAAATGTGAAGTTAAAGTCAAACAAATCAGACTCGATGCCTGATACGTTTGATATTGTTCCAAAAGTGACGATATCACACATTCGAGCTGCAAATATACCCGTAAGGTTGAAAGTCCCCAACAGGGGAACAATGCTTCTTGAAAGTGCGTTGCAATAACACATAGTGGATATGTGGTTGAGGTTGTAGCTACCAAACAAAAATGGTGGAAGCAACTTGGTTTGATAAAGACTCCTCTAAAGTGATAGAGGAGGGAGGCACAACCATTTATCATCAATATATAAAAATCTCTAATAAGATTGTCTCTGATTATAACTATGTCCATCAATCAATACCAGAGGATACTCCGACCGTTAATACGATTCCAAAGAAGAAAGAAATCTCAAATGAATTATAAGAGTATGGATGAGTCAATGGATAGATCATAAATACCCACTGATGATATATTGTAACATCTTCAAATTCGAAAAAAGAAACTAATCTAAAAACTCTAATACTACTTCCATAAGTATTTAATCCCTATCTAAAATTCAACCATTGATTACCTATAATGGCAGTCAAAGTTTTAACATCAATATAATATGTTCCAAACCTTATACAAGTTTATAATAAGAGGCGGAGATACTAAAACCCAACGACAGTCACTAACTCCAACATAAGAAGGATGTTCCTCGGATAGCTGTTTCCTTTTGTGATAGAATGAAATGGAATATTTTCACCATATTTAATATTTTGATCTTGACACCTATAAATGTAATAAAGATTTTAAAAATGAAAAAGGGTGATGATATTTACTATAATTAATGCTCAAATTAACAAGTAAAATAAATAATTTTATTGTGCAATCACATAATTATGGAAACTTAAATCAATGATATATATTTGGAAGATAATATATATATATATATATATATATCGTGTATGTAATATTATCACTTGATTATTGATAACTGGTTGACAATGATCTTGACAACATGATAATCCCTTCCTCTTCCGCAGATGAAAACCCCTCTTTTACAACCCCTTCCCCAAAAGTAAGCAGATTTGCACATCGTCTGATGAAACAAGTCGATATACTAAACCTGTCAAACAAGAAACAACCTGTTCAAATCCCGAAGAAAAAAAATTGAAAGATCGTGGTCCCGAATAATGATGGTTCTGTGAAGACAAGTTTGGATGTAGATATCGGGAACAAAATAACAGTTTAGAAGAAGAAGAGAAGTTGTTGATGAGCCTCAAATGACCAAGGAAGAGTTTGAGGCAAGCTTTCTACACGTGAATTTAGCTATAAAACTTATGTACCCATTTACGACGCCACAGAGTATGAAAAAGACATGGTAAGAGATTGCATGGTGTTTATTTCTCCTGTCGAACTTAGTGAAACAGAACATGAAATAACTATTAGATGTTTGGGTTTGGATGAATTGTGGTTATTAGACATATGAGCATGAAAAGGTGTGGAAACTACTTGGTTCGATAGAGACTCCTTTAAAGGAATAGAGGATGGAGGCACAACCATTTATCATCAATACATAAAACCTCTAATTAGATTGTCTTTGATTATATCTATGTCCATCAATCAATACCGGAGGATGCTCCGACCGTTAATACGATTCCAAAGAAGAAAGAAATCTCAAATGAATTATAAGAGTACGGATGAGTCGATAGATATATCCTAAATACCCACTGATGATATATTGTAACACCTTCAAATTCGAAAAAAGCAACAAATTTAAAAACTCTAATAATACATCCATAAGTATTTAATCCCTACCTAAAATTCAACCATTATTTACCTATAATGGCAGTCAAAGTTTTAACATCAATATAATATGTTCCAAACCTTATACAAGTCTATAATAAAATGCGGAGATACTAAAACCCAACGACAATCACTAACTCTAACATAAGAAGGATGTTCCCCGGATAACTATTTCCTTTTGTGATAGAATGAAATGGAATATTTTCACCATATTTAATATTTTGATCTTGACACCTATAAATGTAATCGAGAATTAAAAAATGAAAAAAGGTGATGATATTTACTAGAATTACTGCTCAAATTAACAAGTAAAATAAATAATATTATAGTGCAATCACATAATTATGGAAACTCAAATCAATTATATATATACATTTGGAAGATAATATATATCTTGTATGCAATATTATCACTTGATTATTGAAAAAATGGCTGACAGTGATCTTGACAACATAATAATCCCTTCATCTTCCGTAGATGAAAACCCCTCTTTTACAACCCCTTCCACAAGAGTAAGCAGATCTGTACATCGTCTGATGAAACAAGTCGATATACCAAACTCGTCGAACAAGAAACAACCTGTTCAAATCCCGAAGAAGCAAAAACTGAAAGATGGTGTCCCGAATAATGATGTTGCTGTGCAGACAAGTTTGGATGCAGATATCGGGATTCAAATCACATGACCAAGGAAGAGTTTGAGGCAAGCTTTCCACACGTGAATTTGACATTTAAACTTATGTACCCATTAACGATGCCACGGAGTACGGGAAAGACATGGTAAGAGATTGCATGGTGTGTGACGAAATTAGCGAAATATAAGATGAAATAACTATTAGATGTTTGGGTGTGGATGAATTGTGGTTATTAGATATTCGAGAAAATACCAATGGATCACCTAGAGAATCCCTCGATAATATTTAAATTACTGACCAACAACTTTTGTGACGTTTTTGTGAAGAATCATCCTTTAGTGATATATATAATATATATCCCAATGAAAAGTCCGTAAACGAAAGTCTTGGTAGTAATATATGATAATCTTTTTTCAATTCGGAATTATGAGATCATTGGTCATATTGCAGGAGCCAGCCAGCCAACCAAAGCTGAGGTTGGTAAAGTAAAACATAAAGTTTTTGTCTGTATGTATTCCGGTCCAAAAGGATCATTTCTTTTTTGTTAAGGTAGAACATTACCAAATTAATCTAGTCTTGGATCTTTGGCTATTAGGACGTTTTTGTTATCATTGTTGTTTTTGTCTATCTAATTTGTTCCTGAAGCATTACATGTTCAAGCAAATTATATATTTTTGTATGCAAATTGGTGATCATATTAGTTAATCATGACAACTTAAATATATATGACACGTGGGATTTTTGTTGATAAAAAAAGTAATGTTACCGGGTTGCTTGAAACATTTGGGTAAGGGGGTGTTTAGGATTGCTTGTAAAAACAACTTATTGACTTATTTATGTGTAACACCAGTAGTAATAAGCACTTTTGTGTATTTGAATAAACAACTTATACCGTGTCAAATCAGTAATAAGAAGTTTTTACCATTCTAATTTATAATAAGTTGACAAGAACTTTTGTATAAAAACATAAGTTGTTTCAAATAAACAATCCCAAATACCCGTTGGAAAGAGTTAAACACACGTTGTAATATCATCATTTAGTTGAATAAATAATACAAATTAGAAGCGCAGGCAGTAGCAGTAGCAGTAGCAGTAGAAGTAGAGTGTATTATGTATAAGCCAAACGATCAATTCATTTTGCTTGTTTTATTTCTTTCTTTCTTTCTTATTTTACATGAGAAAATGGCAATTAATTATTTAGACATATATATATTTCAAGATCATATTCATACTGGATTATGATTATTCTGTTTCGTTTTGAGCAACCTCAATTCTCTTGCTCCTCATCGTGCCCTCTATTGCTCATCTGTGTCTCAGCCTTGTCCTTGCTTCCATCTTCACCGGAGATCTCCTCCAATGACCGCCCTTTTGTCTCCGTCACCAAAAACGTACAGAAAAACCCCAACATATTCGTCACCGCCAATATCATCATGGCTCTCTTGATCTTACTCCTTTCACCTTTCAACGTGTATGTCTGAATCCCAAACGCACCCACCATCGCCCCAGCCTTCCCGGCCGCAGCACTCATTGCATGGCAAGTGGACCTCACCCTCGTCGGAAACAGCTCCGCCGGTAAAACAAAGGTCGTGCTGTTAGGCCCAAAATTTGCGAAGAAGAACGTCAGCCCATAGAGAATGGCGAATAGCCATCGGTTTTCTCGTGTAGCGAGGTCGTCATACTTGATTCCGATGATGAACATGAAAATCGACATCATGAAGAACCCCATTAGCTGGATGCGAAACCGGCCCAGTTTCTCGATGAACGCAACTGTGAACCAGTATCCCGGAAACGTCCCGAACATGGCGATCACGAACATGGCACGTGATGTCTCGAACATTTCTTCCAAAGCGTTCACTTGATGTGCTTTCTTGGTCAAGCCCATCACCGGAAAGATATCCTTCTGGGTCAAGTTTTGACTGTAAAATGCAATGTCCAACAAGAACCAAGTACTCATTGTTCCGATCAAGTGACGCCCATGGCGTTGAACGAACTTCCCAGACCACAAAGGGTAGTCGTTGCTTGACTTAAACTTAGCGAGTTTATCTTGTTCTGCTTGGATCTCAATATCCAAGACCCGACCCATATCCGCTGCCGCTTGCTTTGCGTTTCCTTCAATGACAGCGGTGTACCTCCCAGTTTCCGGCATCTTCATTCGCCAGTAATATGTCAAGAGAGCCGGCAGAGCTCCGAGCATGAGGACGATTCTCCATGCATAATCGGCGTTTTTTTGTGTGGAAAGCACATGGTTCGTTTCGAACGCCGGTGCCTGATTGGCTTTTAGGAAAAGATGAGAGACGATCATGGAAACTAGACCGGCAAAAATAATCCCCATTCCTTGCATGGCAAAAACAGCGGCAATAAACGCCCCTCGGGTTGCCTTATTGGCATATTCCGACATAATAGTGGCGGATAGAGGATAGTCCCCACCGATCCCAAATCCTAGCCAAAATCGGAAGAAACAAAGGGTGGTAATCACGGCTTTTGGGCTGTACCCGAAAGACAGACCTGAGCAGACGGCACAAATCACCATGAGAACCAAAGTTATTCCGTACACCTTCTTACGGCCAAGCTTGTCACCAAGCCAACCAAATACCAGTTGTCCTGATAGAGTTCCCACAAGGGCTACGCCGATCACGGCGTTGTTGATGCTGGTGGGGAGTTTTCCGGGTTCTTTTCCGTCGCTGTGGTCGGAGTAGTAAAGACGGCCCAAGAGCTTCGACACGGTGGAGATACAAAAGAGATCGTATGCATCGGTGAAGAAACCCATGCCGGCGATGACGATGGCTTTGGCATGGTACCACTGGGTTTTGGCTGTGTCCAGTGCCTCAAGTACCGATAGGTTATTGGAAGCCATTGTTGATGTCTTCAAGATCTAAAGCCAAAAAGCTGCTTCTCATTAATTTGGTCTTGAATGAAGTTTCATGCACGATTATATAGACAGGGAAGGACAAAGGAGTTGGTAATGAGGACGTATGAAACAAGGGTTTGATTGGATTTATGAAGAATATCCATCGTAACAATCCAGGAATATATATATATATATATATATATATATATATATATATATATACATATATCTTGGTGCATGAAAGTGATATATATATATATATATATGAAATAAAGTAATTAAGCTTCATAATTATAATTTATCTTTAATTTCATATTTATATCAACTATTATGTTTTGTAGTTGTCATGCATGGTTGGAAATTTAGGAATATGCGCTACCGATTGCCAATCTTGTTGGCATATTGTCTCACCAAAACCATGGTGCTAAAAGTTATGTTTTAGATATATTTTCACATTTTATATTGTATTAATTAATATCCTTTTAATCGATATAGTTTGGTCCTAAAAACGAGATCTACTCCTCTTCCTTAAGTCCTCGTTGTTCCTCAAACGTATCTGAAGTCCTACGAGAATCAAGATCTAGAAAATCAAGTTTTCCAATATAACTCAAACCAATTGATTTTGTATTCGTACTCATTCACTTGGAATAAATGGAACAATTCTTCTAATGTTCGGGTTGAATTCAATTGCATTCAATTCCTTGCATATATGAGTCTATTTAGAATCGTGAGAAGAAAAGTTATAACATGTTTTAAAAGAATCATGAATATTAATTGTATGTCAACATTACAATAAAACCGGATTTATATAGGATGTTAAAAATGTCGAAACTCATAATAAATTGTTTTATAAGATTTAGTTTAGGACGAAATATTTATGTTTGATATAAAAGTGTTACAATAAGTTTATAATACATATCTGGACATATTAACAAAAAGAATTATGACACTTTTGAAATAAAATTTCGTATTAGTTTTATATAACATTCATAGGACAATTCTTTAAAATGTTCAAAATAGCTAAGGTGGCGTTTGTTTTTTAAGAGGTGCTGAAGTCTGAAGTCTGAATTCACTTCTGAATTTTAAGAGGTGGTGCTGAAGTCTGAAATCTGAATCAGTCAGACTGTTTGTTTTTACGCCTGAAATCTGAAATCTGAAATCTGAATCAATAAGACTGTTTGTTTTTGTAAACTGACAAACTTCTGAAGTCTGAAATCTGAATCAGTCAGACTGTTTGTTTTTACGCCTGAAATCTGAAATCTGAAATCTGAATCAATAAGACTGTTTGTTTTTGTAAACTGACAAACTTCTGAAGTCTGAAATCTGAATCAATTCATTTCAATTAAATTTAACTGAAATATCCAATCATTTAAACAATTTGTAAACTACCATATACTTTTAACACATTCAAAAATACGTCAATTGGTTCAAAACACAATAGAAAACACGAATAAAGTCTCATAACAACTAGAATCAATATTCATTTTGTAATTGTGTCGCAATTTCTTCTCTTAAACTAAAATCAATATTCATTTTGTTTTCCGTCTGCAGCACGACCAATCAGCAGTTGCTTTGCTGCTTTTCTTCCGTCTGCTGCACGAGTAAACAACAGCTACTCGCTGCCTGATCTCCCGCTGCTGCACGAGAAAAACAGCAGCTACTCGCTGCTTGATCTTCCGCTGCTGCACAAGCCAAAACAGCAGCTCGTTCCCGTCTGATGTGCGACCAAACGGCAGCTGCCAAACAACAACCGTTCCCGTCCGATGCGCGACCAAACAGCAGTTGTTTGCTGCTTCTTTTTCGTCGACCAACGACCCAACAGCAGCCGCTGTATCTGTCTTCAACAAGCATCTACCGACTGCTTCTTCGTGAGCCAAACAGTCCCTCTACGCGCGGCCAAACAGCATAAACAGCAGCTTCTCCGTCAACTACGACCAAACAACAGCTGTTGTTGTTGGGTTTGAAATCAAATAACATACAATAACTACAGCAACTAAAACCCCATCAAATTCTTGCCCACATTGCCAAAACCCCTTATTATGATTTCCAACACGCAAAACTACTCAACAAAAACACATAAGGAAACATGATCAAGAAAATTTGCCAAAACCCCATATAAAGAATCTTAAGAAAAGGTAAAAACCGACCTCACCCATTAAACAAATATGTCTAAAGAACCTCAACATTTTCTGGATCAAAACATGAAATCCCACAAAAACCAGACTGTTTTCATGTTTTCCTGCATATATGTTTTCATTAACATGATGAAATAGGGGCTGTTTTCTACTCTGTAAAGTCCCCTTACACCAACTGGTTCCTCTTGTTTTATRAACACACGATGCTCAATACATGAATCTTGTTTTATAAACACACGATGCTCACACACACGATACTCTGTAGGATTAACAGACCAAATAAAAAAACCCCTTATAGGAGGTAAACCGTGGGGTTCACATACAAAAACCCTTATAGGAGGTAACTCTCCTTTTCTGAACCACCCAGTTGAAAAGCTTCAAATTCTAGAAAACATACAAATTGCTCAAGATCATTAGAGTTTTCAAAAATCATATCATTTGCCACTTCAGTTTTCCAAATCAACACCCATTTCACATTCATAAACATCTAGGTTTCCCATTAAAGTATGTATAAATTGCATAACTATCAAGTAATAAAGCATACCCATCAATCAAAAACCCTKACTAGCAATCAAGMAACAGCAAATGGAAGTGCAGAAGTACCTTATCARGGATTCAAACTCCAAACCCGGATTTCATCCTCCAATCAAACAGACARAAAGGAGATCCTTTGAGCTGAATCAATATCAAACACATATGGGTAAACTGTCAAGAAAATAAACAAAAATACCAACCTTTTTCAAACCTTTTGCTTCAATTTAGAAGATCACCTGCAGGTCATGGAGTCATGGACCCAGTAGGGCAAAAAAGACCCAAAAGGACTAACTGGGTCTCTTTCTCTCYCTATGTATCTCTCTCTAACTTGAGAGAAGCGGGCAAAACAGAAATTAACCAAGCAAGAGAAAGAAAATCGAGAGATAGAGAGCTTGAGAGATCGAGATGGATACCTTAAATCGAGCGATGGAGAGGTACAAGACGGTAGGCGAGAGCTTGAGAGAGAGATCGAGAGGTAGAAGACGGTCGGCGAGAGCTTGAGAGAGAGAGATCGAGAGGTAGAAGACGCAGCGATGGAGAGGTTACGGTCADAGASCAATCGAGAGCTTGAATGCGATTCAATCTAGAGCTTGAGAGAAGCGGCGATGGAGAGGTTAGAGAGACCAGATAGGCGATTCCCAAAATAAGAGGTTTTCAGCGTTTATTTTACCTCTAAATAATTCAGACGTATTCAGTGCTTTTAAGCTCTTAATTGAAAAAAAAAAAACAAACACCCTTAATACCCTAAGGTCTGACCGATTCAGACTTCAGAGGATATTAAGAGGTTTTTTTAAAAAACAAACAGCCCCTAAGTGGTAAAGAGGTCTAAAACCATCATATAAACATTTTTATTTATGATATGTAATTGTTTGATACTATAAATTCAAGTAATATAAAACTATTTTTTTATTTAAATCTTGAAGAATATAATTACAATTTTATTTTTCGAGGACTTGTGGTGGTAGCCTATGTTTTCTGAAAACAAAAATCCAAGACAATAAGCCCATAATTTCCAAAATTTAAATCACAATACATAAAATCAAATCAGTACTAAACACCCAAATCCCTTGATTTAAGTATGTAAGTTTCACATGTTCACATCACAATTCCAACCATGATACTACTAAAAAGTACGTAAATTCATAGGGTCGTGTAACACCTATATTTTTCACATATAATTTCAAGCTAAAATCGACTGGATTTATTGGATTTCATTCATAACAAGTTATTGTTGGTTAAGTGTCCCTATTTAAAACCCTATTATCTTTTGATGGTTTTAGGATCAAAAAATGGGGAAGTTATGGAATTTCAATGCTCTGGGCGACTTCCCACGTGGCTAAAGTTGTGTGAAAGGTCGCCTAAGCTTTTGTTTGGTCAACCTCATAGTGCAACTCGAGAGGGGGGATTCATGGAGTCGGGGCCACTTTTGGGGCACCTAAAGCTGCCTCGACGTAGGTCGCCAACATGGATGTGGTGTGTGCAGGTAAAAGGAGCCTAAGGGCGTGTGTGCACGGGACCAAGAGGGTTGGGCGACCCTGTTGCGGGCTGCATGGAAGTCGCCTCACCGTACTGTGAGGGTGTATGCTACGGGGCGCCTTGGTGCATAAAATAAGGAGACGTGCGACCAGGGCCGGACGACCTAACATGCCCCGTATATGGCCCAAGGGCCTAGAGCCTTAATGGTTGGTTGATCAACTTCTTTCCTCACTTTCTTCTCATTCTCCCTAATTTCTCTCTTGAGGTCCCAATGAGGATTCTATTTTGGAGCTTTTTGGAGGAAATTTAACCAGGGGGTTTCAAGATTTTTGGCTGGGATCTTCATGTTGGGAGCCGGTGGGAGGTTCATTTTGGAACGCTAAATATTTTAGGAACTCAAGAAAACATCATTTTTCTGAGTATTCATGATGAATAATGTGATAAAATATTAATGATAAATATCGTAAGAGATATTCATGATTAATTATATTTATCATGAATTCTCACAAAAATGTGGTTCCTGGATTCCTAAAATATTTAGCATTCTTATATGAAAATGTCTTATATATATATATATATATATATAGAGAGAGAGAGAGAGAGAGGGAGAGAGATGTGAGTTATAATGCAACCCTTTACATTTATACAACCAATACAACTCAATCTCAACCGTCTATTTAATTTGATGAATATGTGATTTCATAAAAGTTTTAAGTGTTTTCTAATATACACTATTGATCATAATTAATGAACTATAGTCATCTTCCATAAATAAGAGTTAATTATTAGAGAATTTTGGGAATTTTAAGGGTTTTGTGTGTCTTGTGATAGTTTGGAATACAGATTCATAGTTGTGTTGAATCGGAC